ACACTTACAATACCTGGTTGCGCCAAAGTCGTCTGCAATGGATGTAGCGCCTCAATTGTGGGAAATTGTGATTATAGCCCAGCGCATGACGCAAAGGGCTTTGATGAGATGTTGTGCTCAAAAGGCACTAAAACCATATGCAAGTAACAAATGGGGCAATGCGAAACACTGCTTAGCCAGCATGGGTTCTGACTTAGAGGCGTTCAGTCATAATCCAACAGATGGTAGCTTCGCGGCACCAGCTTCTCAGCTAGCCGTATTAACCAAGTATCTGAACCAACTGTTCCTCTCGTACTAAGTTGGATTACTGTCGCAGTATCAATTTTATCAGTAGGGTAAAACTAACCTGTCTCACGACGGTCTAAACCCAGCTCACGTTCCCTATTGGCGGGGGAACAATCCGACACTTTGAGACTTCTGCGTCTCAATGATAGGAAGAGCCGACATCGAAGGATCAAAAAGCAACGTCGCTATGGACGCTTAGCTGTCACAAGCCCTGTGGTAACTTTTCTGACACCTCTAGCTGAAAGTTTCTCAGACCTAAAGGATAGATAGGCCATGCTTTCACAGTTTGTATTCGCACTGAAAATCAAAATCAAGCAAGCTTTTCCCCTTTTGGTCAACATGAGACTTCTGTTCTCATTGAGCTTGCCTTAGGACACCTACACTATTGTTTCACAGATGTGCCGCCCCAGCCAAATTCCCCACCTGACTGTGTCTTCCGCATTTATCGGATCCAAAAGGGTGCCTTAAGACTTCAACAGATGCCGAGCATGCATCTCAACTTAACGGAATAGGTAAAGTGACATTGAGGGTAGTGGTATTTCACGGTCGTCGGAGCTCCCACCTATGATACACCCCGCAAGTCGTTCAGCAAAGTCGGACTGGAGTCAAGCTCAACAGGGTCTTCTTCCCCCGCTGATTCCGGCAAGCCCGTTCCCTTTGCTGTGGTTTTGCTAGATAGTAGATAGGGACAGTGGGAATCTCGTTAATCCATTCATGCACCTCACTAATTTTGATGACGAGGCATTTTGCTACCTTCTAATGAACAACTAATATCCACCCGCACCCTGAAGAGACTAAAGTTTCAATCGCCTCCCATTCAGCAATTTCAGACACTTTTAACTCTCTTTTCGAAGTCCTTTTCACATTTCCTTAACAGTACTTGTTCGCCATCGGTCTCACGTCAATATTTAGCCTGCCCGCCCACTGGCAACGCCTCAAGAGGCTACAATTCGTGAGGTCAAAAGGGACTCACGATTTTCCCTTTGAGCTCTTCCCTAGAGGGAAGTGTTATTTTCTCCTCCTCCGCTTAGTAATATGCTTAAATTTAGCGAGTAACCTCGACTGACTTCAGGTCTAAAGATATATATTGTCAGCAGCAATCAACACAACGTCCTCTCCTAAATCATCCACTACTTTTGAGATATTAATCAGTAGTTCATAAACCACTGTATCACTTTTGTGAACGAAAGGATACCTAGGTGTGAATACAGTCTTCTTCTAGGACAGTATTCGCAACTAGACTCTAGTTGTGAATACATACAAAAAGAGAGAAAACAGTTGAAAAGTTGCAGAGGCTTTCGGACACCGAGCTACATGCACTTGCTGCCCTATGACACTTCTGCCTGTACACCCCGACACCGACTAAATCACAGGCAAGTACGCCACGACGGAATTGCCAATAAACTGTCTCACTTCAAGGAGAGGGGGAGGTAAGAAGGCCTTAATATCCCTGTCCGCTGCATCTGTGGTCTGTAGCAACAACCTTGAAATAACAGAAAAGAGATGCACACTGCACCGCGCCAGGTGTCTGCGGCGGTTGCCTGTATATGAGAAACCATGCGCCGCTTCGCAGTTTCTACTTGCCGCCTCTGCTTCAATTTCTGACCCTGTCAACCGACGCAGCAACACCTGCATAACAAACAAGACGCAAAATCCCTATACGCATGCAGCGCATCTACCTGTAGAACTCGGGGGTACGTGAATGCAGCTGCAAACAACGAATAGCATAGCTATGCTGGCTTCCGTCGGAAAGAAATGATGGAAGACAACCTGACGCGGAGAGGAACAGCATTTCCCTGGTGGAGTGTACACGCACCTTCATCGCCATGCATCCTTTCTTGCCATTATCTTTCTGGGAGCCTTTAACAATAAAACACTCCCTCGAAAGAATTCTCACTTCTAGAGCGATTTCATGCTCAGACAGAGAAACCCAGGGTTTCCCTACAGGGACGGTTGTTGCTGTAGTTGCTGCTTCTGCATCAGTAGCAACAGAAGCACTTGCTGCTGCTGGGGTGCATACAGACGGGGGGGACAGCGCCCCTATTTCCCATGGGCGTTCTGCTGCAGCAGGCGATGAGAGCGGGAGGAGGAGGAAGCACAAGATGTCGGCATCTCTACTATAGAGATTTAAATCCCTAACAAAATATGATAAATCTGAATGCATATGCAGCAAATCGTCTCCCCAGTGTGCCCCTTCAAAGGCCTGTAGCTGCAACCGCCGCTTCAGCAACCACACCTCCGTGGAAGCAGCACCAGAGGCTTCTTCTCTTGCGATGTCTGCTGAACTCATCTCTCTTGTTGTCACATCTAAACAAGCTGTGCCTTGACTATCTCTGCACCCCTTAGCATTGCATGGAGCCCCAGCTGAGCAATGGGACCCCAAAGCAGCAGCTGCACCAGAAGCCAGCTCCATTGCTGTCCCCAACACCAAGCCGCAGCCGCTGCAGCTAACTGCTGCGAAACAAACAAATATGGGCACAGAACAACACCCCAAGGATCTTTCTGTTGCTGCAGAAGGCGCAAGGGAAAAGTTACTCAAAATAAGAGTTAGGACAAACAGGCAGAAGGAAGGAGGCATGGATATACAGATAGAAGCACAAGGAGTCACATGAATGCAGACACAGAATTGAGAGAAAGGCATAAAGGAGACAGGGATAATGCGACTGCGATAGAGACAAACAGGCAAAAGACAGCAGTAACGTTGTGGTGATGTTCCCGCGAGCTTTCTGTACACCCGTCGCACCTGCAGCGCGTGCAGCGTCATTCTTGTCAACGGAGGGGACAAAAGGGCCCCTCAATATATTTGTCACGTCAACAGAAGACAGCTTAATTCTCTCGTTGTCTACAAACCCTCTGCAGCAGACAGCAACCAACGACCGCCGGAGGTGTTCGGGGCGGAAAAAAGCAGACAGCAACACGCTATTTCTCCCGCTTTCTAGTTTTAGCATATCCCTCTTACGCTTTAGGACAACTCCACTTCCTGGCCTTTCTCTTGCAATAGTTGCCCCCGCTAGCTGTTTCTGGGTTTCTAGCTATCCGTGTTCACTGCATATCGATCGCTAGCCATCCTGCCGCGCTGCTAGCGACATGCAACAGCGTACCTAGCCACCGACCCGATTAGCTAGCTACCTGGGTTCCATGTGTGTATGTATGTGTGTATGGATTGATGGATGTGTGTGTGTGTGTGTGTGTGTGTTTGTGTGTGTCTGTGTCTGTGTCTTTGTGTGTGTATGTGTATGTGTGTGTGTGTGTGTGTGTGTGTGTGTGTGTGTGTGTGTGTGTGTGTGTGTGTGTGCGGAGAGCAGCAATAGCACAATTGTGAATCGCTGTTTTACTTCAAATTAATGTGATATGTTTGTTTCGTTGAATCACCTGCCCCGTGTAGGGCGAGCGAAGGGCTCGTTAGGAGGTAGGGAAGGACATTCCTCGCATGTCTGAGAAGTAGAGACAGAAACAGAAACCCGTGCACTAGATAGTGACAGGCACAATACACACACGGGGGTGACTAACCACAGAGAAGAAACAAGACAGAAAGATGAGAAGAAACGCAGAAGTTCTTCTGTCATGATTGTACATGCAACAGCAAGCAGTTGTTTTAATCTAAGTGGCAGTTGACTTCAAGATAAACAGGTAGATGACATCAAGGGAAACGCGGTTTAAGAAGCAAATAAACGCGAGAAGGGAGGCACTGATCGAAACAAACAAGCTGCAGCACTAACTTACATAAAGATAACTGGCTTCTGCCCACAAGGGAGAAGGCAACAGCTGCAGGGAGGCGCCCTCAAGCTCTGCAATCAATTGAGAGCACCTGCTGTACAGACACCGCAAAAGCAAGATCAATGGTAACGAGACTAGGGCAGCAAAAGCAGCAAGGAGTGAGCGTTAGCGCAGAGCTGAGAGTGAGCGCACACAAGAAAAAAAAGATGATAGCGGCGAAACACACACAAACACACACATATGCTTCATTTGATTGTTTTGTTTTTATGTGCAGCTCGCCTCGACACTGTGCACAGAAAAAGGAAGGGGCTAACAAACCTGACGGGAATCACACCAACAAAAGCAAGCAAACAAGCATGCAAAAGCGGAATAAACCATAGCAGAACAACCGAAGTCTAAAGAAACAGGCTAAAGAAAATCTAAAGAAACAGGCAAACAGGAAACAACAAGCAAAGCTTGCTGTTCTCTTTTTGGAGTTCTTTGACGAGACAAGACACCCACCTGCATTTGATTCTGAATTTACTTAATCTGCGGATGCGTTTTTCTTCCTCATTCTCCAAGGCAGCAGCCACCTCTCCGGGTCTCACGGCGCACTGCATCGACAACCGAAAAAAGTACAGATCGCATTTTGAACCTTCGTTTCTTTTTGCTGCTACTGCTGCTCCCGCCGCTCCTGCTGCTGGTCCTGGTCGTTGTCCACCATATGCTGCCGATGCTGCTGTTGTTGCTGCTGCTGCTACGGCTGCAGGCCGCTTTCTGTGGGTGTTGGCGGGGCCGTAGGTGGCGGCGAGGAGGCGAAGGGTAGGCAAAGCACAGGGAAGAAGAAAATATATATTAAACAGAAAGTGGAAGTGGGGTGATGGAGATATTGAGCTGCAACCCACGGACGCATTCCTCGTTTCGGCTTCTGCCACTGGTACTGTAGGCAGTTGCTGCGACTGCTGCTGTTGCTGCTGCACTCGTGGTTTCGTTTCTTCCTCTTTTACCTCCACCGACTCCTCCCTCTCACAAGGTTGCTGCCGCTGCATGTGATGCCCCTCCCGCAACTGCTGCGGGAGCTGCTGCCTCTGCACTCTCCAGAGAGAGAGCCGCAAGGCATGCTCCCCGCATATCTGCTGCTGGTGGTGAAGGCGATAAGCGAGTTCGTGCCTCTGCGCAGCAGGGGCAGTAGTGGAAGCAAGAGCGTGGCCTGTGGCAGGAGCTGTAGGGGTTTGGCTGCTCCCCTTTCCCCTTCCTACTGTACCTTCAACGTCGTACCCTTCCAGGCTGCTGCTGCTGTTCAGCCCCAAACTGTCGAGGGCCTCCACCAATTGCCCAACGTCTGTTGTGATGTTTGCTGCTGCTGCAGGCAAGAGGACGGTAACAGCCAAATGGCCGCCCACAGCAGTCAACTCGAGCGTTGCGTCTGCAGCTCCGGCTGCAGAAGATGCTGGTGCCCCCCTTGCTCCTGCGCGTACTGCAGTGGTCCCTGCTGTTTTTGCCGGGGTTTCTGCTGCTGTTACAACATCAAGGTGGGGAGGTACAGCATATTGCGAAGGTTTGGATCTCATTTTTGGTGGCTGCAGAGGTCGCCATGCAGCAGCACTAGCGGTAGCTACAGAATGAAGAGACGGAATGTCAACTAACCGACACGTCGCGTTACATCTGAAAGTGAAAGGTATATGCCGGTCTTATAGCCTGTTAAGGTAACGAAAAGGAAGTCCGCCGATCAAGAGGAACTAAAGAATATCGCAAAGAAGAACGCAATGGACACGTTGGCACCTAGTGTAGTGCACAGGCACTACAATGTGGCTCTGGTGTGATCTCTAGTAGCTCATTGACCATAAAGAGAATGATTACAACATTAGCAACTAAGAAAGGGAATTAATACTGCTAAATGTTCTAAGGATCGAGTGCCGTGGATGGATCCATAGGTTAGAACGGTTATCCCCCCAGCCGCCACCATCGGCAGTGTAGCGTAATACCTAGTCGTACTTGGGTACCCGGTAGGCCCCTTTAGAGATCTAATTGAAAAAGAAATAGAATTATTACTATATTGGAGTATTATGTCTATAAATACAACTCGGTGGATGGAAGTCATAGGTCAGGCTCCTGACCGTGTCGTCACCGTTGATATCCCCCCCCTCATCCCTGGAGGTTGGGCGCTGACACCCAGCCATGACCGGGGTCAATTCGCAACTGTTCCTTTATTCTATGAACTCACCCTTTGTTAATAAATGTGAATCTAACATGAATAGATACTTTCAGCATAGATTTCCGAGAATTTTGGTAGTCAGAGGTAATACTCAGGAAGCCTGGCAGGACGGGATGATAAGTAGGCACGGCTGCGCACTACATATGGGGGCTGTTCCAACCTAGTGGCCTCTTATCTATAGTGGAATGTATAATAAGGATCAGCCACAGCTAAATTAAAATGCCAGGCAACAGAAGACAGATAGTGATTGTTCCAATATACCCGGGCCGACCGTGTGGGGAGGGCAATGGGGTCCAACGCCGGCGCGAGAATTCGAATGCGGACTTCATTAGATGATCATCTGGGGATGTCAAACCCTCCCTTAGGACCGTTAATCTCAGTATTCCACATGAGGATGGTAGGAATATGTTGTGCTTCCTTCGTCATATAGAGTTGGTCTTTTTCGAGACCAGAATACCCACGGAAAACTGGGGACTAGAACTGTGCACATATTTTACCGGAGAAACATTAAATTACTGGTTCTACCTATGGGATGCCCGAGAAACCGTCAGCAATTGGGAAGCTCTCAAACGTCCTATGCTAACTAGATTCTACAGGGTCCCACGAAACGAAATAGTCTCACGATTATCTGAAGTCAGATGGAAGAGCGGTGCAGCAAATTATGCTGCCGAGTTTTCATCAGTACTACGTAACGGACCTTTACCGCAGGAGCAGCTATTGAACCTTTTTTTTGCGGACCTGCCAGATGACATTTTGCTGAGAATGACAAGTGAGGGCCATGCCAAATTCACAACTTGGGAGGAAGCCGCTACAGAGTTGAAAATGTAGGATCTAGAAATGAGACATTGAAACAACTACGGCAAACTAGGCAATATTTGGAGGAGACCCTCAGGCATACTCAAAGTGGGTCCCCTAGGGAACCACGAGATAGTGAAAGAGGAAACCTACCGGACTGGCGAGTATCTAGGGAAAATGTTAGTTTCGAGTGCAAGGGCAGGGGACATGTAGCCTTGCAATGACCCTCTCGCCAGGAGTCTTTACGTCGTACAGGGGAGATGTGCCGGAAATGTGGGGGTGTACGGCATTATGCCCGGGGCTGCCCTTCCCCGGGGACTATGAAAACTGCGTCAGCAACGAGGCCCGAAAAGAGACAACCATGTGCTAACGTCAAGGATGAGGAACGATCGAGCCTAGTCGTCCAGAGCACGCACTAGGCGATATTTTGATGGTAGGGGATCTATGTGAACAGTAGCAACAATGCCTAACTCCACAGTAGTCTCCCTAGATTGGGAAAGGAAGTTGTTTTTAAAGGACATGCAAGCGGATAAGGAAGAGAAATTGGCTGAGAGGCCACAGCAGACATTAGCAGAGCGATGTAATTTAGGGATTAGACCGCCCCCTGACGATGAGCCCAAGCCCACTGGAAAGTAAGAAAATGATGCACTCGATGTGTACGACGGAGAGACACAGTGGTGCAGAGGCAAGGGGGCAGTCTCCAATGTTAGAGGAATATTGTGTAATGCAGGGACGATTGACACTTTAGGGTTCAAGGTGGCAGGAAACGAATGCGAGGCACTATTAGACCATCCAGGATTTTTTTCAATCCTAGGACTGTTGATAGACTACAGCTAAAGACACAACGGCTAGGAGAGTAGTGCATTTTCACAGTGGCCAACGGTGAGCAATTAAGAATTGATCGACTAGTAAAGGGACTAATAATGTGGTGTGGGGATCTGCGATTGCGCGGAGGCTTCTTAGTAGGGCCTGTACCATACGATTTAGTATTAGAACTAGATTGGCTAACTGAACATAAGGTGGCGTGGTCCTTCCACTCTGAAAAATTACGTGCATATGTAGATGGGAGAAGGTGCCATCTAACCCTAGCTCGTACCAAGCAGAAGAAAACAAAGATAGGAAACGTTCCAGCAGCAAATCTGCGGGCCCCTGCGGAACGCGCTTAGGATATACTTGCAAAACAAATGGCAGATATGTCACTGGGTGAGGCGAGGCCACTTCTACGTCCACCTCCCAAAAGGTATAAAACAAACCGTCGGGCAAGGAACAAGGTGAAAATAGACACATTACTACAACAGACAAAGGAAAACAGATGAATTATCACACCGGCTACATGGGATGTCCAACATACTTGCTCTTCCGGTGGGCCAAAAATTGACAGGTGAGGGGCAAGGGGCTCTGTGTTATGGTTTGTTTGAGACTTCACCAACTTTTGTCAGGCAGGCAGTTACAGAAATCCAGGCAACTAGTGAGCTAAGAAACGACGTGGAAGAGCACCCTTGGCAAACAGCCTCCTTGGAACATACTAACTTTGATGATTGGATGGAATCAGAGATTTCAAGGGCAACTCCACGTCAAATCCTAGATGTACTGCGAGATAAGAATGCGGTATTCCCTAATAAGCTTCCTTCAGGACTGCCACCGAAGCGGCCATTCGATCACAGTATCCTACTAGTGACAGGGAAGTTGCCCTCTAAGGCTACTATATATCGCATGACACCCGAACAGCTCCAACCACACAAACAGGAAATAGCTAAGTTAACGGCTAATGATTGGATTGGACCTACATACTCACCTATATGCGCCCCCACAATCATGGTCAATAAACTAGATGAAGGGACAGGTGAACGCGAGATGCGGATGGTTGCGAACTAGGCGGAGGTAAACGCACTTACAATCGCCCCCGATTTTCCCCTCCCTTCAGTTCTAACTATACTTGAGATGTTACGTGGAGCAACCTTTTTTCTACTCTGTATCTGGAATCTGGCTTCCATCAAATCCGCATGGCAAGGGAGGACAAGTGGACAACAGCCTTCTGTTCGGTGCTAGGATATTCGAATACAAGGTTATGCCTTTTTGTCTTAAGGGCGCACCAGCTACCTTTCAGGCAAATATTAATGCCTATTTACAACCGCTATTCGGTCAAGGAGTTATCTCATATCTAGACAACATCCTGATCTACAGCCCCGATCTATCCAGTCATGTGGCTTTGCTCCGACAAGTGTTAGGAATTCTACTACTACAGCATTTCTATCGGAAGTTTCGATAGTGTATATTTGCCAAATAGGAGCTTACATACTTGGGATACACTATTAGTGCAGAGGGAATTAAACCCGCAGCAAATAAGATAACTGCAACAAGGATGTGGCCCGAAGTACTGGAAAATGGGACTCAAGTCCGATGATGGCAATGAGCGGAGACAGAGGAGAAAAGAGGTTCTGTCGTGGGTTACAACAGCGCGCCTGCTCACGGTAGGTGTCCTGGGCCCTGGAATATCCGGCGGTGTCAGGGGTGTTCTGCCCACACAGGTAAGCACGAGGCCAGCACACGGTAGTTGTCCTGGGCCCTGGAATATCCGGCGGTGTCAGGGGTGTTCTGCCCACACAGGTAAGCACGAGGCCAGACAAGACCCCATTCTGAAGCATTTGTTAGTATTGCAGACATTCGTTAATTGGGAAGCCGGCATCCAGTAGCAAGTTCGCCAGCGCGTACAACCCTAAACCAAACTCAGCCAACCAGAAAAGAGTTTTCTACTAAGCTAGAAATGTTATATTTATGATGAACAGCCATATAATTGATAACGCATATCTTAATGAAGCACAAGATGGGCCTAAAGGTATTCAGTTCCCTCCCCGGAAGTGTAAGTAAAAGGTAACGGCATCGAAAGCACGTGGCGTCAGCACGTAGCGGCTTTCTCTCTGAAGCGACGACGTTGAAGATATTACTTTCATAGAAATCAGTAAACACATCCACCCCATAAACTATAGCTTCAGGAAAAAGGCGTCCCCCTCTTGGGGATGAAGGTTGGCTGTGTTAATGGTTGGCGGCGTCACGCATGCCCATGGCGTTCGCTTTAAACTACAGCAAAGGCCCGAATTAAAGCCTTCTAATTTTGCCTTGACTACGGTAATTTATATTATTTCTTCTAAAAGCCGTATTTCTAGCTTGTCTCGGCTGCTCCACTGCTCAGGACACCAGGGCCCCCACCTGTAGTGTTTCCAGCTGGCCGTACGCTGTCACTACGTGAGGTCCTGTCAATACCAAATAAGTGCACACGCTATAATCTAACTCCCATTCTACGATCCTCGCTACAAAACCTTAATAAATGCAATTAACAACCATAATTACCATCGAGTTCCTATTATTGTTCGGAAAGAAAACCCAGAATAATAGAACTGGTGACGACCCACCCTCGGCGAGGACAGGGACCAGGGTCACAGCGACAGCCTCGCATTCAGCCCCAAGCTAGGTGCCGACTGGCGAGCACTCTGATCCCATTATGCTGTTTTTCTACCTATTAGTGTCCTAGTTCCTCATATATTGCTTAGTATTCATTCATAT